TATTACGAGATTCATAAAGTGTTATAAATATTTATTCACATGCAAATTCAAAGGTACCTTTTGGATGTCCTCTATTTCGTCCTCCCTGTGAAAACACAAATAAATAAAATATATTATAATTCAGAATAAGAGCAAAAATTTAGTGCATAATGCAAAGTATAAAGTAGTAACTAGTGAGTACCAAAGGGAGACGAAGCAGGGTTTTGATGTTAAAATCAGAACTAATCTTTTCCAAATCAATCTATAGTAATATATAGTGATTTGACCAAAAGTAATGATTGCTTAGCATTTTAATACTAAGTAAATACCAGCATTTCAGAAGTTAAACACTTACTCCAAGTTTTAAACCAAGTAACAATTTAAAGATTCACAGAATATCATTATAACACACATGTAGTGCCTTCCAATGAACCAGCTCTACCCCGTTACAGAAATAGGAACATTCAATGATGTATCTCAATTCTCATACCACAAGTGTACATGCACTAACAAGTAGATGCCATTTGAAATTGGATTCACTAAACCTCTTTAACCCCATCTTAAAGATTAATACAACCTCCCCATCTTAAGCTCGACATTAACTGTCCAACATTTACTTTTATCGAATATCCTATTTCTCGCTATCATTCTCCGGAAGCATGGCAAACACTATTAACCTAATGTGGACCCCTTTATGCAAAATAAACTCCCCATGATACCACCCAGCCCCAACCCTCCACCGACCCACCAAAAACAAATGTAATATACTAATAACAGAAATGCATGCAGCTTGAGCACAGGAAAAAAGAAATAGCTAGGTAGTAAATCATATGTTGATACTTCACTGCTATGAATGTATAGCATCGAAATTTAGAGTGAACTAGTGAAGATACAAAAAGAGACACTATTCTAGATTAATAATAATAACAGGAAAAAAATACTTTACAATAACCGGTCTAGATCCAGCTTATATACTCACGATTCCTCTAAATCAATGACCTTGATGGCAACCTCTTTGTTTAATTCCTTGTCAAATCTGCAAGAGCAAAAACGACAAATATATTAAGCTAATCAAGTGACCAACTTTTTACACATAAGTAACGAGTTTCATAAAGAAAGAATATATTACATGCAAATAAATGAAATATATGAAAGAGGACTTATCAAAAAGTTTGTATTACTGTTGTCTTTTAAACATCTTTATGATGCTCTGAGAATCTTCTTCCTAATGTAGCAATATATATTGGATCAAGGGTTCACAAGTGAAAACAAAGCTCCTACTATTGGCACACCAGAAATGAGCGACGAGATAAATTTTCCATGACTTCCATATTTTCAGCACAAACCAGAATCTCAAATACCAGTATACAGACATCTGTGATAAACTGGTAATGGTAAAACTGACGTAAGAATGGAATCAGATAAAGTGAATATAAAATCTTGCATAGAAGGGGGAAATTCATAATTAAGTTCCAATGGCACCGATAATGTGGCATTTAATTACTTGTCCGCCTAATAGGTATACGGTCTGAATTTCACAGGTTCTCGGGCTAAAAGGGATAATATGTAGGTGGAAACGAGCTAGGTCACACTTATAAACCACGTTGAAAATATCCGCAATCACTATGTGTGGGCCTTTCAAGACATTGTGTAAATCAAATGACAAAATTCACAAAATGCACTTCACTTGGGGAATGGTGATCTACCTAGAATTTAATAGAGAAACAAAGCAACAAAAGTTCGTAGTCAAACAATCCCATAAAGAATTCACGGTTCAGACCGCATATTGCAGTGTGATCCAAAACAAATTGTGGAATTTGCAACCGTTCAAACATAATGTTTATTTCAACCAGAATATCATTTTTTTCCACTCTAGTAAAGTGATTTCTAGCATTGGCATATAAATAAAAACTATTTATTATTGTAGTCTTACTTACTTATCGGCAAGATTTTAAGGCAACAACTTAAAAGGTAACTCTAAAAGTTTACATCTTATCATTTGCTCTTGAATTACGCATTTTCACAAAGTACCCATTTTGAGTTCTTAAAATATTTTAAAATTCAAATGTAATAAATCTCCATATATCCAACGGAACTATGCATTTGATGGAGGTAAAGAATTATCATAGAGAGGGATCCAACGGGGAACGCAGGTAACCCACATTGCCATAAAAGGAAGTAACACAATGAGTGTAAGCTTAAAACTAAACCATACCCCTTGTAAACGTCGCCAAAAGAGCCTCTTCCAATCAGCTCCAAATTGCTAAACCTCGACCCTGAAGCCTCCATTAGAGCCGCTGCATCTTCCATTTCACACTTATGCTTGATAACAGAATATTCTCCCTTCGTCACAGTCTTCACCAAATAAAAAACTACCGAGCTAAGTTGACGAATTCACTCTACAACTCAAGAACTTGACATGAAAATATCATTGCATCGGCATTCAGTCATCACTCTGTTACTTAAACTTCCAAAACATCTGAGGAAAAAATAAAAATGAAACAACCCGTAATGTATACAACTGAAGCAGCACTGTATATCCAACCGAATTACACGAAAATGCAATGTGGGGCACCCATAAGATTGCCATCCTAGTTAGGTAAAGTGGGGATTCTAAAGTGACGGTCCAACAAATTTCATTAGAAGTATTTACAAAGAGTATGTTTACAACCCAAAAGCCCCCAAAACAACAGCGACATTGCCATACGAGTACGCTAGTCCGCCATGAGTGACTTCAAATGTGAGCCATAGATTTTTCCCTTACCGTACAAAAATGGAATCTGTAAATACAGAAGAAGGGATACTGACCTTCGCCACTGCCGATTTGAGGAATTGGGTTTCTAGATTCACAGAGCCCAAATGAAAAAAAAAAA